AAATTTAAAAAGAAACTTCTAATTTATTTAGAAGTTGTCTGTCTTAGAGCCTGGGTAGCTCAGTCAGTTAAGTGTCTGCCTTTGGCTCAGGTCATGACCTAGGGATCTAAGTATCAAGCTCCAGAGTGGGCTCTCTGCTCAGAAGGGAGTATGCTTCTCCCTCTCCCTCTCTAATTATTCTCTTGCTCTCTCTCTCTCTCAAATAAATAAATAAAATCTTTAAAAAAAAATAAGTTCTCTGTCTTTTCTCTCATTGTTACACATCTAGTTGACAGAATTACAACAACAGCAAGAAAAAACAACTTGTTCTGTACAAGGAAACTGCCATAAGACTAATAGCAAATTTTTCAGCAGAAGCTTTGCAGACCAGAAGAAAGAGGCATAATATATCCAAACTTCTCAAAGGGGGGGGAAAAAAACAACCAAGAATACTCTGCTGGTAAGATTATCATTCAGGATTGAAGGAGAGATAGTTTTACAGACAAAAGCTAAAGGAGTTCATCACTACTAAACTGGCCTTATAAAAAATGTTAAAAGGACTTCTTTAAGCTGAAAAGAAAGAGCGTTAATTGATAACAAGAAAACATGAAAGTATAAATCTCACTGGTAAATATATAGAAAGGTAGTGGATTATTATAAAACTTCTATGCAGGTTAAAAGACAAAAGTAATAAAAATAACTATAATAGTGAGTTAAGGGACACATGATATAAAATGTGACATCAAAAATAAGATGTAGGAGGGAGTAAAAATGTAGACTTTTAGAATTTGACCAAATTTCAGTTGCTATCAACTTCAAATAGACTGTTTTATATATGAACATGTATATGATATTACATGTGAGTCTTATGTTAAGCAAAAAGCAAAATCCGATATAGATATACAAAAGACAGTAAGAATGGAATCTAAGCACAATACTAAATAAAGTCATAAAAACACAAGGGAAGAGAGCAAGAGAAGAAGAAAGGAACAGAGAGGAGCTACAAAAACAGTCAGAAAACAATTAACAATAGGCAACATGTACATACCTATCAGTAATTACTTTAAATGTAAATGGACTAAATACTCTAATCAAAAAACACAGAATAGCTAAATGGACAAATAAACAAGACCTATCTATATGCTGCCTACAAGAGACTCACTTCAGATATAAAAAACCCAAAATCTAGAGGCAAAGGGATGGAAAAAATTGTTCCATGCAGATGGAAACCAGAAGAAGGCTGGGGGAGCTGTACTTACGTCAGACAAAATAGACTAAAACAAAGGCTATAATAAAAAACAAAGATGGGCATTACATAACGATTAAGGGGTCAATCCAACAAAAGGATATATATTTGTAAATCTTTATGTACCCAACATAGGAGCATTCATATATATCCATTTACATCAATGGATAGATCATCCATATGAAAAATCAATATGGAAACACTGGCCTTGCCTTCAGTGACACATTAGACCAGATAGACTAAACAGATATATACAAAACAGTCTATCCAAAAGCAGCAGGACATATATTTTTCTCAGTGCACATGGAAAAGTCTCTAGCATAGATCATATATGTTAGGTCACTAATCAGGTCTCAATAAGTTTAAGACTGAAATAATACCAAGTATCTTTTCTGATCACAGTGATATGAAACTAAAAATCAATTAGAAGATGAAAACTGAAAAAAAAAAAAAAAACAAGTATATGGAGATTAAACAATGTGCTACTGAATAACCAATGTGTCAATGAAGAAATCAAAGGAGAAATTAAAAAAATACCATGAAAATGGAAATACAACTTACCAAAATCTTTGGGATGTAGCAAAATCGGTTCTAAGAGGAAAGTTTATAGTGATAAAAGCTTACCCCCAAAAGCAAGAAAAATCTCAAACAATCTAACTATATACTTCAAGAACTAGGAAAAAAAAAAAAGACCAATGAACTAAGAGCTGGTTCTTTGAAAAGATAAACAAAATTGACAAAACTTTAGATAGACTCAAACAACAGAGGATTCAAATAAATAAAATAAAAAGATTTACAACGGATACCACAGAAATACAAAGGATTATAAAGACTACTATGAACAATTATATACAAAGAAATTGGCCACCCAAGAAGAAATGGATAAATTCCTAGAAACATACAATTTTTTAAGACAGAATAATGAAGAAATAAAAATTTGAGTAGGGTGATTACTAGTAAGGAGATTAAAGCGGTAATCAAAAACCTCCCAACAAACAAGATTCTAGGTCTTAAACCTTCCTTGGTGAATTCTACCAAATATTTAAAGAAGAGCTAATGCCAATGCTTCTCAAACTCTTCCAAAAAACAGAAGATGAGAGAATGCTTCCTAACTCATTTTACAAGGATACCACAAAAAAAGAAAACTACAGACTGATATCCCTGATAAACACAGATGCAAAATCCTCAACAAAATAGTAGTGAACTAAATTCAACAATAGATTAAGAGGATCATCAAGTGATATTTATTCCAAGGATACAAGGATGGTTCAACATCTACAAATCAATCAAAATGATACACCACATTAACAAAATGAAGGATAAAAATTATCTCAATAGATACAGAGAAAGCATTTGACAAATGGATTCAACATCCATTTATGATAAAACCTCTCAACAAAGTGGATATAGAGGGGATGTACCTTATATAGAGGACATATAAGACAAGCCTACAGCTAACATCATACTAAATGGTAAAAAGCTAAAAGCCTTTTCTTTAAGATCAGGAACAAGGTAAGGATGCTCACTCCTACTACTTTTATTCAACAGAGTATAGAAGTCCTAGCCATTGTAATTAGGCAATAAAAAGAAAGAAAATACATCCAAATTGGAAGGGAAAAAGTAAAACTGTCACTATTTGAAGATGACATGATAGAATTAATAAATTCAGTAAAGTTACAGGGTAAAAAATCAACATACAAAAATCTATTGCATTTCTATAAACTAACAACTATCAGAGAAATTTTAAAAATCCCATTTATAATTACATCAAAAAGAATGAAATCTAGGAATAAATTTAACCAAGAAGGTAAAAAAGTTGTATGCTGAAAACCGTAAGACATTAACAAAAGAAACTGAAGACACAAATAATTGTAAGATATTCTATGCTAATGGAGTAGAAGAATTAGTATTAAAATATCCATATTACCCAAAGCAATCTATAGACTCAATGCAATCTCTACCAAAATTCCAATGGCACATTTCACAACGATAGAAAAAATAATCCTCAAATGTGTATGGAACCACAAAAGACCATGAATAGCCAAAGCAATCTTGAGAAGAACAACAAAGCTGGAGGCTTCATGCTCCCTGATTTCAAACTATATTACAAAGCTATAAAAAATGAAAACAATATGGTACTGACATAAAAAGACTCACACAGATCAATGGAACAGAATAAAGAGCCCAGAAATAAACCCATATATATGGCCAATTAACTTACAACAAAAGAGGCAAGAATATACAACAGGGAAAGGACAGTTTCTTTAATAAATGGTGTTGGGAAAACTGGATGTTATATGCAAAAGAATGAAATTAGAGTATTATACTATACATAAAAATAAGCTCAAAGTGAGTTAAAGACTTTAAGACCTGAAACCATAAAACTTCTAGTACAAAACATAGCCAGTAAGCTTCTTGACATCATTCTCGGCAATGATTTTTTTTTAGATCTTACTCCAAAAGTAAAGGCAACAAAAGCAAAAATAAACAAGTGGTAATACAGCAAACTGAAAAGCTTCAGAAAAGAAAATTATCATAAAAGTGAAAAGGCATTACTGAATTGGAGAAAATATTTGCAAACTATATATCCAAACTCATACAAGTCAACATCAAAACAAAACAACTGATTAAGAAATAGGCAGAGGGTCTGAATAGGCACTTTTTCCAAGAAATACAAATGGCAAACATGAAAAAGTGCTCAATATCACGAGTCATCAGAGAAATGCAAATCAAGACCACAATGACTTGTCACTTCACACCTGCTGGAATGGTTATTATCAAAAAGACAAGAAATAACTGGTATTGGTAAAGACTAGTAAAGGTGTGGAAAACAGGGAACCCACATGTACTGCTGGAAGAAATGTAAATTGGTAAAACCACAAATGGAAAACAGTATGGAGTTTCATCAAAAAATTAAAAAAAACTTTTAGTTATAAGAGAAATAAGTTAAGGAGATGAAAAATACAGCATAGGGAATATAGCCAATCATATAAAATAGAAAGTGAATAGAACTAATGATCCAACAATTCTAATTCTGGGTATTTTATCACAAAAAGACAAAAACACTAATTTATCAAGATATATGCACCCTTGTGTTTACTGCATCATTATTTACAATAGCCAAGATATGAAAAGAACCTAAGTGTCCATCAATGATTGAAAGGACAAAGAAGATGTGGTGTAAACACACGCGCACATATGCACACACAATGCACACATAATGGACTACTACTCAGCCATGAAAAAATGAAATCTTGCCATTTGTGACAACATGGATGGACCTTGAGGGTATTAGGCTAAGTAAAATAAGCCAGACAGAGAAATACAAATATTGCATGATCTCACTTATATGTGGAATCTAAAAAACAAAACAGATGAACAAATAAAACAAAATTTATGTATTCAGAGAACAGAGTAGTGGTTGCAGGGGCAGAGGGGGAGTACACATTTCTAGTTGTGAAATAAATAGGGGATATGATGTGTGGCATGGTGATCACAGTCAATGGTACTGCATACATATTTGAAGGTTGTCAGAAAAATGGATCATGAACATTTTCATCACAAGAAAAAAATTTTTTTGTAACTTTTAATGGTGATGGATGGTAGCTGGACTTACAGTGGTGATCATTGGCAGTATGTACAAGTGTCAAATCATTATGTTACATACTTGAAACTAGTCTAATATTTATGTCAACTATATCTCGATTAAAAAAAATTAAGGACCTTCTTTAATAATGTCAGGAAAATAATGTGATACTCACTAGTCTTCACTCACCTTTGGACCTGGTAATCCAGGTAACCCAGGATTTCCATGTGGCCCTGGTATGCCCTGCAAATAGTAAAGAGGTCAGATCGCTCTTAGAACAGATCCAGATACAAATAAAATTTCATTAAAATGAATGGGACCTTTCCCCCACCCCACAAAGTTCTTTATGTTTTCCTAGATGTTGGATATTTCACTCTTGGACAAGAGAGCTACACTAATTACAGAGGAGGACTGTATTTTCCATCTTTTGATTCAAAATCCTGCCTTGAGATGCTTACCTCCCTTATTTTTCACCCCTATCTCCAGCCATATTGCATAGTGCTACTTCTAAAAGCTGTGCAGAGTAAGAAGCCTAAAAATAAGAAAGTGCAAATGTTTAATCTTCTGCTAACATGTGTTAACCCTTTCTGTACTTGGGTTTTTGTTTATGCCATTATGTATGCCTATAAGACTTAGTTCATTTCATTTTGCCCCCCTACAGCTCCCGAATCATTCTTCAAGTGTCAGCTAAGATCCCACCTCATTTTTAAGTCCTAGCTACACTGTGATAAAGTGATTTCTCTTTCCTACTAACTTCCATAGAAACTGCTGCCTGGAAAATTCATTTGCAATTAATTGTATATGCTTTAAGATATTTCTTACACTGTTTAATCTGTTCTTTAAATATTTTATTGCTATTTTAATTATCTTATGACATGTGCCATTTAGTTCTAGGATTTTTTTTGAAAAGGGACTGTTTTTCATATTACCAGTATAGCACTTGGAACATATTAGATACTCAATAAATATTTGTCAATAATTGCTTCTATTTACCAACTATGCATAGATAACTGTGCTAATGCTTTATATTTCCTATTACCTATTTACAGAAGAAGAAACTTAAGCTCATGGGACCAGCAAGCAGAGGAACTAAGATTCACCTCCAGAAAGCCTTTCAGGTGACCCTATATTCATCTGGGTTTGGTACCCACTCCTGGGCTCTTCAGCCATACTTCTAGGTTAACGTATCACATATAGTTAATAATTACTTATTTTTCGGCCTTTTCAATTCTGAATTGATAAAGCATTGTGTTTCAGAAAGGAGAGAGACATCAGCAATGGCAATACTGGAGGTATATCTAGCAAAATCAAAACTAAGGAAAAAACATGAGATGTTATGACACATGCCATTTGTAACCTTCAAAAAGTAAATTTCAATAAAATAGGTGGAAAGATTATGGAGATTTACAAGTGAGGTTTTGGTGGAGATGTAGGGCAATGGCATAAACTATTATTTTACGAAGCTCAATAGCACAATGGTGAGCTAGGAGCATAACTTTAGGAAAAATTAATGTCAATGAAAGTTTGAGGGTTTTTCTTTAAGAATAATTTGTTAGTTGTTGCCAAATGAGACAAAATCTAGGGAGAAAAAAAATTAAAAGTTGCAAGTTTTAAGATAAGTAATGGAATGAGGATAAAATTAGGCACACAAATGGGATAATTGGTCTTGAGAAGAGGAATACTGTTCCTTCCTTAAAGAAAGGATTAGAAAAATTTTTTAAAAAGATAAAAATTAAAGAAGGAAACTGCTGCATCATGAGAATAGTTGGAGCCTCAGACGTTGAAGGTCATGCTGTGGGGAACAGCCTCCATGGTGGAAAGAGAATGGAATTAGGGCAGAAAGAGATCCAGTTCCTCAGAAGAGTAGGACCCAAACAGAGAGTGAGGAGGATAGAAGTGGTGCACCAGCTACGGGAGGGGGAGTGGGCGCGTTCATGAGAGACTCTGAGGGGAACATGATAGGTCATCAAGTAGAGAGAAATAAACCAAATGCCGAACAAAACTACCACCAGTAGTGTTCATTTAAGGCCTCATACAGACAAGAGTTTGTTGTGAATTTGGATGACTCACAGTAATAGTTCAGGATGATTTTTCATTATATTGTTTATATGACAGATAAAAATCAGGATAGAAAGAAAGTGGATTGTCCATGGCATACGCATTTGTCTTTGTAACAGTCGTAATTCCTTTTCTGGCTCTTAGAAGAATTCCTGTTAGTAAAAGTCCAGGTTGATTTTTTTCAGTTTCAAAAGAAATGAATTTTAACACAGCAGTAAATCTTTTTTGGACCTGCGTAATGTGAGAAACTACTGCAGAACCTTAAGGCAGCTTTTTCCTCAGGACAATTATTTTTCTAGTCCGTAGTTCCAGCATTTTCCACTATGTAATCCAGGAACGTACTATTTTAAGGCAGCCCACTCCTCTTCATTTCCCAAAGCAAATGAACCCCACCTTGAACTATCAACTACCGATGAGATCACTTTATAACGAAGAATAATGTTATAAGTAGCACTAGACGAGCCACTAATCTACAAATTTGATAATCCTTCTTGGGCATGTTCACAGAGAACACTTTGGCTGGGTGTTTACTCTCAAATAAACAAGCTGCACATGTTCCCGAGTTTCTCTTGAATTGGCAAAGGTAGGGCTATGTTTGAAGATCCAGGCAGGTTTCCAAAGGAAGTACATACTGTACAATACTAGGAAGAACATACTGCAAAGTTACTAATTCTAACAGCAAGTGGGACATGGAGCCCATTTACTTACCCGTGGACCTCTCTTTCCTGAGGGACCTGGGATACCTGCTGGACCCGGTGGACCCTTGGAAAACAATTGCCGAGATGTTAGACACTGTAATAGACACATCTTTTCTCAAAAGTCTCATTAAGATTCCCATACTAGGGCTTTTTTTTTCAGTCCCCAGTTCCCAGCTGATGATGATTTTAAAGTAACATGAATCCCCTCACCCTAATCAGCAGGGGTGAGAGTTGAAACTCAAGTGTCCTCTTTAATCTGGCCAGAAATGGCAGCGGGAAGTCTGTGACTTATGGTTACAGCCACTGTATCTGGTTTTTACAAGGACCATAACTAGTAGTTTTGTGGGTAATTTTTACCTAACTTTACTTTTACTACTGAAGGCGGAATTCAATTTAGGGTTTGGAGACCGACAAATACAGGTTTTTCCAAACACATTTCAAAAGACTTGCCCTGAAAAATTAAAGCACTGACCATATTATGTTCTTCTAAAAAACTTATAGCAAGAATCTGTGTAATGTGTTAAATTATTATAATGAGATCCTTCTAATATATTCAGTAATAAATCTGCCTTACACCAAATACAGCATACCCAGAGGTCAGTAATAGACTTAAATAGTTTGCAAAACAAAGTAGGAAAGCAAAAATTGAACCATTTTAAAGTGTTGTGAGTTCTTTAAATGTTACTTATTAAATATATCAAATAAGAAATAGGAAATTACTACTTTACTTCCTCATGTAATGCTTTCTATCATCTTTTTTACTTTAACAATCAACTGGGGCAGAATGAATGTTCATTTGGGATATGGTTAACACATTCATTCATTCATTCATCTTTCATTCACTTGTTACTGAGCACTCTGCTGACATGGAATTATTCTTCATGTCTTTAGGCCATATACATCTTCCATTTTACAAATATTCATTCAACATAGCCTTCAAAATAGTATGAACATTGAAATTAAACATACCAAAGTTAAAGTACTAGCCTTCTCATTAACAAGTAGCATGACCTAATGAGCCTTATTTTATCAGGCATTTTTTATTTCTCATTCTTGATATTAACTACTCTTTGAAATTTTCTTCTTTTATTTATATTACAGTCATTTTGAAGTTTTATAATGTTCTTTATATATTTCGAACTGTCCATTTTCCTTTAATTGTATTTTTTCCTCTCTTATCCCCTAACTTGATAAAAACCTTTCATGTATTTCCTAATATTGAGAGATAAGTCCTATTTCTATTCAACCTCAGACTGAGGGCATACTCCTTCCTAACCTGTTCAAATATTTTAAGAGCTATTATTATATTACTAGCATTCATCAAAAATTGACTTCCACTTATTTTTTTTTTAATTGGAATTCTTTTCACAGTTCTGGTTCTGTTGTTATAATCAGAAATTAAAGGCTACTTATTTAAAGTCCCCCCAAAAATAAGAAAAATGAAAAATTAAATGGAAAATTAAAACAGAATGTCTAGTTTGGTTTATTGCCTTATCATACAACATTACAACAAAAGAAAACACAATTCCATTCACACTGAAAAGGAAACAACATTAGCTACTGGGGAAGAAAGAAAGTATATTTTATGTCATGATTGAAATATTTACATTGTTTAAAAAGCACTAAATAAAAATCAATTTTAGCTTTCTTCACAATTTTGCATTTTCAAATCTTTGAGAGCAGATTATTAAGAGGGATTTCTAGAAAACAGGAAAACTGATTTGACATGTCATGACTGATTGAGGAGAATAAGTTATTTTCTATAAATAAAGTTAAATACTAAAAATGGTACTTTAACCTTGAGATTATTAGTTATTAAGAGAAATTCAATGACAATTCAATGACAAGAACAGTGGTTTTGCAATTGTCCTGTCTAGATTCAAATCATGCCTCAGCATTTACTGGCTGAACTACCTTGGACAAGTCAGTTACTCTTTCTAAGCCTTAGTTTCCTCATCTTTAAAATACAGATAAAATATCTTTAAAATACAGATAAAAATCTACCTTTCAAAGTTCCTGCGAACATTAGAGATACTATAGGTATAAAATACTTATAACCATTGCTGATATATAGTAGTTAACCAGTAAACTCTAAGGTAATGAAGTTTTTAAAGGTGTATATGGGCACAACAAGCACTCAATTCATGTTAGTTATAATTACCAGGATAAATATTATATTACTAATATATAAATATATACACTAAGGCAAATATATTCACTAGAACAAAACTTTTAAAACATAGTAATGCCTGGTCAATTAATCTTGGAAACCCTGTATCTAAATTTCCTTTTTTAATTGCTTCAGTCACTCATTCATTCACTCATTTGATAGACATTAGCAAGCATCAAGCCCTCCTGCAGCTTAAGACTGGATAAAAAGACACACGTTAACAGATAAGCATATAATTATACATTTTACTTAGTGATATGAAGGAAAAGAACAAGCAAGCAACAGAGAGATTAACAGGGTGCACCTAATTTATTTGTTGTATCAGAGAAGACTTTCCTGAGGAGCTGCTAAGTTAGACTGAAGAGACGAAAAAGAGAAAAGAGGAGGAAGTAAAATTCCAGAAAACTGGAAGAAAATGAACAAAGCAAATGGAACAAAAAGCACAGTCTTATTGAGGAATTAAAAGAAAACTCAGTGAGCGTAAGGAAAAGGGGGACAAAATGAGGCCGCAGGGTTTAAGAACAAGCCAGATCACATATAGCTGCATAGGTTACAATAAGAAGTCTTTCATTTATTCTAAGTGCTTTATTCTTCTGCCACTGAAGAATTTAAGCAACTAAATGATGTGATGTGATTCGTGTTTTTAAAAAGATCACTAGAGAATGTCCATAAAATATGGCAGAATGAGAACATTATTAAAACTATCCTCCCTCTCTCAAAACCCACTGAAAACAACAAAAAAACACCAGAAGAAAAAACACCATCTCCAACGAAACAACGAAAGGACCACAACCACAAACCAAAAAATATGATGATTATCTTCCAAATACTGAGAAAGTCTGTGGTAAGGAAAGATGTTGAGAGATGACCAAAAACAGAAAACCTCCTCAGACCTCAAATCTTGGACAGGCTGCAGATATCTAAATGCATGCCAATCCTGAAAGTTCATTCCAGAAGTCCTTTGATTAACAGTGGAGAGGTTGAAAGGGAATGAGAAAGCTGCAATAGATGTGATTAATGACCCAGTGAAGACCCAGCTCCAAACACCCAAGAGTAAGGAAGGTAGATTTGAAGAGGAAAAACCCACCATTTTTATGATCTGCTACCAAACCTCCTAACCCCAGGAGATTGTTGGTGGTGAGAAGGGATAAAACACAGGAGCATAAATCATCATATTGGTTCTTAGAGGGCCTGTGAAATAAAGGGCTTCATAACAAATTGTACATGAAAATAAGAGGAGATATGTTTCTGGATAGAGGACAAAATAAATATGATCAGATGGTGTTTAAAGGCAGCAACTTAAATCTGACACTGTGTACCACTCCACCTTACTCCCCTTTCCTTTCCCTGCACTATTCTAAAACAAATAATGGCCCAATTAGAGCTCTCTTTATTTTAAAAATGGCTAATAACCAGAAAGAAACCAGCAGGTGACCTATACATACATATAAGGAGAGGGAGAAGTATGAGGACAGAAACATAAATTGAATGTAGATGAAAATTATTTATCAGAGGAGGAATTATTCTACACAACAGAGAAAAAGTTCAGACATAAAGATGCAAAGAATTTCAAGATGCCATTTTTCTAGAAAAAGCTCAAAGAAGAGTTACAAGAAATACAAGTAACAATGAAGGCAATGAAATGTGAACCAGAAGAGTTTAAGAAAGACATGAAAAGAGAAAAAAAAATTATAGATGAAAACCATGTCAGATACAATAAAATCTGATTAAATACAATTGAAAAATCAATAGAGGAATGTGAGTGCAGGATAATCAAAATCACACAAAATGAAATAGAGAAAAGCAATCACACAGACATGTTTGTAAAAAAGATAATAATATCTATCATCACAAAGGACATCTAACATATACGTATATTGGGGTGCCTGAAGAAGAACATGGAAAAATGGGAAAGAAAAAATATTTGAGGATATAAGGGAAGATGTTTGTATAATGAAATAAAAATAATCTTCATATCAGAGGAATAGCAGAAAAACCTGAAACAGACCTAAATAGGTTTAATGAACCTCAGAGATGATGAAAGAACTACACAGGTAAATGGCGGAAAAAATCATCACCTACAGATGGGAAAAATCAGGCTGGCCTCAGCGTAATAGTAGAGTAGTAGTAACATCTACTTCAAGAAGTGGGGCCACAACCCCCACAAAAGTTCATCATTTAATTACTATTCACACTTGCTTCAGCTTTTTAAAAACCTACCTTTAGTCTTCTACCCTACACTTAAGTCGGACTCGTGAAGTTCAGCAGTGACTTTCTCATCAGAAGAACTAATGCATTTCCTCCACTGTTGTTCAGTCCTCATACTTTTTTACTTGTTGTAGCTTTTGGCACTTCTGATCAATTTCTTCTCAAAACTCTCTTCTTGGGCTTTTGCCACGGTACACTATACCCTATACATAGTACACTACACTCTTCTCTCCCATCTGACTGTTCATTCACATTTCTGCTTTTTTTCTGCCATAATCCCAAAGCGAACATTTCCCATGATCCCCATGATTTGGCTCCTGACACTATGCCAAACTCCTTTCCTATACTTCAACTATATTGATAGGAAGACCCCAAATTTATATCCTTATCTTAATCTCTCTTTTCCACTTTAGTTTCTTAACTTTTCCAACAGCTGACTGAATTTTCTTTAAAGATTTTTATTTATTTATTTGACAGAAAGGGATCATAAGTAGGCAGAGGGAGAGAGAGATGGGGAAGCAGGCTCCCTGCTGTGCAGGGAGCCCAATGCGGGGCTCGATCCCAGGACCCTGAGATCATGACCTGAGCCGAAGGCAGAGGTTTAACCACTGAGCCACCCAGGCGCCCCATGAATTTTCAACAGTATCTTCAATGTTCTAACTTAGTTTCCTCTCCTAAAATAGACTTCCTCTCCTAATTAGTCATTTTAGTGATGGTATTACCATTCTCTCAATCCACAGACTTAAAACTTCAGACATCTTTTATTCTCTTCCTTTCTGTTTCGCCCCAGCTCCAATTAATTTCCTAGTTCTACCAAACCTTTCTTCAAAATATTTCTTTTTTTTTCTTCAAAATATTTCTTAAATCCTACCTTTCCACTTCATTTTCACTGCTGTCATCCTAGATACCGTCCTAGTCTTGTAACATCAAGATGACAGCCGGAACTTCTTGTCTGTGTTGGGCCCTACAAACATACTGACTTCCCTATTAGTATCTCTGTTTAGAAACCTACAAAATTCCTCATGAGGACAAGATCAAGTTAGAACCATCAGTTTGACAGTTAAAATTCCCCATAACCTGACAACATCTAGCTTGGGTCTTATATGTGTCCAACATTATTTGCTCTAACATCATGAAAGAGTTTTTGAGCTTTAGAGGTAAAAAATCTGAACCCAAACTCTGGCTCTGCCATTTATTAGCAATGTGGTTATGAGTAAGTAAACTAACTTTTCTGGGCTTCAGTTTCTTCAAATAAAAAATGAGGATAATAATACCAACCACACCAAGATATTTTAAGATAAGATAATGAATGTAAAGGGCATGGTAGAGCATCTGCCACAAAGTAAAAACTTAATAAACAATTGCTGTTATGCCACTTTTCCTATATAAAAAATAGACCAGTTCCTTTCCCCTGTCAAAATCTATCCGTTCTTTGAGGCCTAAGTTATAACTAACTTTGTCCACAAGAACCTGTTCTGAACAGCTCAGCCTCAAGTGATCTTTCATAGGAATCTCCTCAGAAAATATTTCCTTTATAAACATTTGTACCCTCTAACTTAGTTTGTAAGCTCTTTCTGAAGAGTGATTCTGTTATACATACACTGTGTTCCTGCTTTGCTTAGGAGAAACTACATAAATATCTGTTAAATATTATTGCTTCATCTACCAATGCTGAAATGACTATTTGGGGATTTATAGAAGAGCTTAATGCTCATCTCATTATACTGACTTTTTCTGAAGAAAGTAAATGGTTTCCATACCTATTTGTTTAATATGACCCACCCAATAGCTCAGTTTTATTACTAAGATGTTAATAACATTGCTATAGCTGAAAAGAGTTTATTTCTCTATAATAATGTATTCTTCAGATTTTACTTTAAAACCGTTAAACAGTCAATCTAATAAGAATTTTTCTGGGATGTCTGGGTGGCACAGTCAGTTAAGCTGCTGCCTTCAGCTTAGATCATGATCCCAGGGTTCTGGGATGGAGTCCCACATTGGGCCCCTTGCTCAGTGGGGAGCCAGCTTCTCCCTCTGCCTGCTCTGCCTGCCATTCCCCGTGCTTCTGCTCAATCTCTCTCTGACAAATAAATAAATAAAATCTTTTTTAAAAATTGTTTAATACCTATCAATACACTTCAAGCAAGAACCACAAAGGAAACATAAGCTAAGCAAGTGACATAATCTTCTCCCATTCAGTGGCTTCTGGAATCAAACCAATGACTCAAATTTTATTTTCATCAAAGAAAGAAATATTTTAAGATATATTTCAGTCAGCTTGTAATTAGAAAATTATTTTCTAAACACACATAGGTTCCTTACTTAAGATATACAAATATAAAAAGCAAAAACATGTTTCTAATGTGATTTTAAATAGATTTAAATAGGTTTTAAATGACTTAGAAATTTTTCAAATGTTCCTCTGTAATTGTACCTACACAACAAAAGAATTTCAGAGCTGAAAACATCTGTCTATTATCCCATAGTTTTGTTTATATATCATTAAATAAGTGATTTGGCTGAGTTTTTTTCCCATTGAATAGACAGATGGGCTGTTAGCCTTTTTTTGTACTAGGTAGCTGGAGATTTTATTAATTCATAAATGTAAATGAACCATATCATTAAAGATTTAATGAAATATGTTATTCCTAATAGATACTATTTCATTTAGAATGATAATGCAAGGGTTTCCTTTTTTCTAGTCAGTGAATCACTACAAAATTATCTCTATCTAAAATAAATTTTTATAATCTATTTTAATCCACTTGATATTATTTTGTTGAAAGATGTGTTTAATGATTATGAATTAATTTAATTGATATGTTTAATGTATCTTTCTTTGGTATACTACAACTTCTTCATATTCTCTTAACATGACTATGTATTAAGTCTATGGTTTTTCTATAAAGAATGCTGACCTATATTTAGCAGTTGAATTCCCAATTGAATTTCAGCTGGACAAGAAAAACATATAGCTTACTCATCACTTTACCAGAATTAAGTAACCTTTCAGTCTGCCAATAAAAACAATGACAACAAAAATACATTTGAACCAGTGTTGCATTCTGGTTGGATGCATTATAGTTAACAACAAATTCACTCACTATAGCCAGGATACATTTCTGAAACTGATCTGTTCTGTACTGCTCAGTCTAGAGATTTCTTTTTGATAAGCTAATAACATTATGACAGATTTAAAAAAACAACAACTTACAGTAGGTCCAGTGTCCCCTTTTGGCCCTCTTAGTGTCTCCATTTCGAGCATTGCATTAAGATCCTCATAATAATAGTAATAATCATAAAGGTCAGTCTCATAGCTACTTGCGATGGAGTAGGTAGCATCAGGATCAAATTCACCTTCTTTCCTCAGGTCAAGGTGATTGTCCACAGCTGGTTCATCTGTCACTCTGTATAAGGTTGTGTTTAAAATCGGTTGTAATTCCATGAGTTCATTAGTGTGTAGATTTGCTGTGATAGCCTTCTTGAGATCAGTAATTGTTTCTTGTTTCATATGTGGAAGAACAGATGATATCTTCTTAAATGGTGACAAACCAGTTACTCTATCATTATGTTGTGTGATATTGTCAAACACATTTGGGAGAGAACTAAATTTCTCCTTGCTATTTGTTCTTGCCTTATTGAGATGACGGGTCACTGACAGGCTTACATTTGTCTGAGTATGTTCCTCAGTGATCATTTCTTTGGCCTGAATTCCATGGTTTACAAGATCCACAGCAGAGACATTGCTTGAATGAAGAGACTTTGACTGAGCCTTTGATATCTGGTGTCCTTGTTGTTTACGGACTGTTGCAGGTTCATTATTTATGATATTTGGGATGCTTTTGCCTCTGGTAAATGTGTCTTCTGACACCACTTTTTCACCAAATTGTCTGGGCAAAGGAGAGTTTTCCAGTATCTCAGCTGATACAACGGTTGTATGAAGAAGGTTTATCTCAGGGCGACAACGCTGGCTCACATATCTGCAATAATCTGCAGATGCTTCTGCCGAAGGAATAATGTCCAACTGACATACTACTCCTTCAAAATGGACAGAATTATTATTCATACTTCCTAAGGTAAACACACTGTTAGGATCAAAAGTCTGAACTTCCAAAAGAGTCTCTCTGCTAAAATATTTCTTTCCACACTCAACATACATTGAGACAACTTGGTTTCTAACAGTAATGGCAAATGAGTGCCATCGCTCATTGTGAACAATGTAGTTGAAAAATACAGACTGCTTTCCTCCAAGGTATACTACTAATTTTTTAGGTAATAATTGCACTCCTAATTGCAGTCTATTTTTATGTCTAATGCTGAAGAGAAATGCATTGTTTACTCTATGGGACTGCAACCCAATTAATATTGTAAATGGCTGTTCTAAGTTGACTGGTAGAACTTTCAAAAGAGGTGACTCAATGTAAGTATCATTAGTTAAAATGACACCTGATTCTGTTAAATGGACCCCCTGAGGTAATGGTGTAGATGATGATGGTACAGCAGTCACTGATGATAGGTGTCTTACATCTTTGCCTCCAAGGCCTAGTTGATGAAGAATGTCTATGCCTGGGAATTAAAAAGAGAGAGAGAAAGAGAAAGAATCTTACTCTTAGGCATTCATGTCTTTATATAAATGTTTGAATATGAGAGCATATTCCTTGTCTGTATCAACAGCAACCCCTAAAATAAGCATGCTCTATCAATTTCCAGGTAATGAGATATGGAGAGGAAGAGTAAAATGTTATACTCAGTAATTTGACACACACACACATACATACACATGCAGCCATGGGTGTGTGTGTGTATATGCACATGCACACACATCAATATTCCTAAACCCCAAATTTAATAAATGTTCTCTCATTTTTCCTGATCAACTAGGAATCTTATTTGTTACTCCAACGAATATTATTTAACTTGGAACTTAAAATTGAATGACTTCTATGTTAAATAGAAACAAATTTATACAAACAAAAAAAATTTATAACTTGGAAATCATTTTATAAATTAAGTTCATATAATCTTTTAAACTATATTTTTTCAGGCTACATTCCCTTACAGTCTTTTGGGAATTTACAAGTCACATAAAAGTTTTCCCTATGCCTAATACCGTAAGTTTGCTACACATAGAATATTCAGTCACCTTGGATTCTACCACGTGAAGGCATAGCAAGAAGTTGGCATTCTGCAAACTATAAGAGGCTCTCACCAGAAACAGACCATTTTAGCACCCAATCTTGGACTTCTGGCCTCCAGAACGAGTGCATCTTGTCTGGATCGTGGTTGATACATTCAGTTATACATCCCTTCAACCACCTCTCCACAAAATGACTAAGAGGAGGAACACCCAACAGAGGAAAAATTCAGAGACTGTGCCCTCTGCCACAGAACTATTGAATATGGACATAAACAGTATGTCAGAAAGGGAATTCAGGGTAACAATTATCTAGGCAATGGCTAGGTTGGAGAAGACCATTAGTGACAACACAGAATCTCTAAGGGCAGAAATGAGCCAATCTGGCAGAAGTTAAAAATGCTATCAATGAGATCCAATCTAATCTAAATACTCTAATAGCTAGGGTGACCAAGGCAGAAGATAGAACTAGTGATCTAGAAGACAAAATGATAGAAAAGAAGGATCAGAAGGAGGCCTGAAACAAACAGCTTAGAAGCCATGAAAACAGAATTAGGGAAATGAATGACGCCATGAAACATTCCAATGTCAGAATTATTGGGATCCCTGAGGGGTGGAGAAAGAGAGAAGACTAGAAGATATAGTTGAACAAATTCTGGATGAAAATTTCCTTAATCTGAGGAATGGAACAAGTGTTTGTGTCCTAGAGGCAGAAAGGATACGCCACAAGACCAACAAGTCTAAAAAGACATCCAGACACTTAATTGTGAAAATCACAAATCAAAATTTCATACAAGAGCTCCTGAGGACAGCTGGGGGAAGAGATTCCTTACATACAGAGCGGGACCATCAGAATAAGGTCAGACCTGTCCAAAGAAACCTGGCAAGCCAGAAAGGGCTGGCAAGACATATTCCGGGCACTAAATGAGAAGAACATGCAGCCAAGAATACTTTATCCAGCAAGCCTGACATTCAAAATGGATGGTGAGATAAAAAGCTTCCAAGACCAGCAAGGTTCAAAAGGGTGTGTGACTACCAAGCCAGCACTACAAGAAATATTAAGGGGGGGGGGTTCTATAAAAGAAGAAAGAACTCAAGAGTGACACAGAACAGAAATTTACAATCTATAGAAACAAAGGACTTCACAGGCAAGATGATGTCAATAAAAACTTATCTTTCAATAATCACTCTCAACGTGAATGGCCTAAATGCTCCCATAAAATGGCACAGCATTGCCGACTGGATAAAATGACAGGACCCGTCCATATGATATCTATAAGAGACACACTTGGAACCTAAAGATACATCCAGACCGAAAGTGAAGGGATGGAGAACTATCTTTCATGTCAATGGGCCTCAAAAGAAAGCTGGGGTAGTGATTCTCATATCAGATAAATTAGTTTTAAGCTAAAGACTATAGTCAGAAATACAAAAGGATACTACATCATTCTTAAAGGGTCTGTCCACCAAGAAGATCTAACAATTGTAAATATTTATGCCATATGGGAGCAGCCAACTACATAAGCCAACTGTTAATCAAAATAAAGAGTCATATTGATATGAATACATTAATTGTAGGGAATCTCAACATGTCACTCTCAGTAACAGACAGATCATCCAAGCAGAAAATCAATAAAGAAACAAGAAATTTGAGTTACACATTGGACCAAATGGACCTTATAGATATATACAGAATATTCCACCCTAAAACAACAGAATATTCATTCTTCTCAAGTGCACATAGAACTTTCTCCAGAACAGACCACATACTGGGTTACAAATCAGGGCTCAACTGATACCAAAAGACTGAGATTATTCCCTGCATATTCTCAGACCACAATGCTTTGAAACTGGAACTCAACCACAAGAAAAAGTTTGGAAGGAATTCAAACACCTGGAAGCTAAAGACCATCCTACTCAAGAATGTTTGGATCAACTTGGAAATCAAAGAACTTAAACTATTCATGGAAACCATTGAGAATGAAGACACATTGGTCCAAAGGAGGAAATACATAGCCATCCAAGCCTCACTCAAAAAATCTGAAAAATCTCAAATATACCAACTCTCTTTATACCTTAAAGAACTGGAAAATCAACAGCAAATTAAGCGAACCCCATGCACAAGAAGGGAATTAATCAAGATTAGAGCAGACATCAATGAGTTGGAAAGTAGAGATACAGTAGAACACATCAACAAAACTAGAAGCTGGTTCTTTGAAAGAATCGATAAGATAGATAAAGCACTGGCCAAACTAAAACAAAAGGAAAGAAAGAGGACCCAAATTAATAAAATTATGAATGAAAGGGGAGAGATCACGAAAAACCCCAAGGAAATGGAAACAATTATCAGAAATTATTATCAACAGTTATATGCCAGTAAGTTAAGCAATCTAAAAGAAATGGATGCATTCCTGGAAACCTATAAACTTCCAAGACTGAAACAGGAAGAAACTGACAACCTGAGTGGACAAATACCTAGTAATGAGATTGAAGCATTGATCAAAAACCTCCCAAAAAACAAGAGCCCAGGATTTGATGGATTCCCTGGGGAATTCTACCAAACATTCAAAGAAGAAATAATACCTATCCTTCTGAAGCTGTTTCAAAAAATAGAAACACTAGGAAAACTTCCAGAATCTTTCTATGAAGCCAGCATTACTCTGATCCCCAACCAGTCAAAGACCCCATCAAAAAGGAGAATTTCAGGGACACCTGGGTGGCTCAGTGGGTTAAAGCCTCTGCTTTTGGCTTGGGTCATGATCCCAGAGTCCTGGGATCAAGCCCCACATCAGGCTCTCCACTCAGCAGGGAGCCTGCTTCCTCCTCTCTCTCTGTCTGCCCGCCTCTCTGCCTACTTGTGTTCTCTACCTGTCAAATAAATAAATAAAATCTTAAAAAAAAAAAAAGGAGAATTTCAGACCAATATCGTTGATGAATATGGATGCCAAGATTCTCAACAAGATCCTAGCTAATAGGATCCAACAGTACATTAAAAAGACTATCCACCATAACTAGGTGGGATTTATCCCTGGGATGCAGGGGTGGTTCAACATTCGCAAGTCAATCAATGTGATAGGACACATCAGTAAGAGAAGAGAGAAGAGCCACATGGTCCTCTCAATTGATGCAGAAAAAGCATTTGACAAAATACAGCATCTGTTTCTGATTAAAACTCTTCAAAGAATAGGGATAGAGGGAACATTCCTCAACTTCATAAAATTTGTCTATGAAAAACCCACAGCAAATATCATCCTCAATAGGGAAAAGCTGACAGCCTTCCCTCTGAGATCAGGAACATGACAAGAATGTCCACTCTTGCCACTGTTGTTCAACATAGTACTAGAAGTCCTAGCAACAGCAATCAGAAAACAAAAAGAAATAAAATGTATTCAAATTGGCAAAGAAGAAATCAAACTCTTTCTCTTCACAGATGACAGGATATTTTATATGGAAAACCCAAAAGACTCTACCCCCAAACTACTAGAATTCATACAGCAGTTCAGTAATGTGGCAGGATACGATATCAATGCACAGAAATCAGTTGCCTTCTTACACATGAACAATGAAAATATAGAAAGAGGGAAACTAGAGAATCAATTCCATTTACTATAGCACCAAGAACCATAAGATACCTGGGAATAAACCTAACCAAAGAGATGAAGGATCTCTACTCAAGGAACTACAGAACACTCATGAAAGAAATTGAAGAAGACACAAAAAGATGGAAAAGCTTTCCATGCTCATGAACTAGAAGAAGAAACATTGTTAAAATGCCTATATTGTCCAGAGCAATCTATACTTTCAGTGCCATCCCGATCAAAATTCCACCGGCATTTTTCAAAGAGCTGGAACAAACAATCTTTAAAGTTGTATAGAACTATAAAAGACCCCAAATTGCTAAGGAAATGTTGAAAAAGAAAAACAAAACTAGGAGCATTAAGTTGCTTGATTTCAAGGTTTACTACAAAGCTGTGATCTCTAAGACAGCATGGTACTGGCACAAAAACAGACACATAGACCAGTGGAACAGAGTAAAGAGTCCAGATACGGACCCATAACTCTATGGTCAAATAATCTTCAACAAAGCAGGAAAAAACACCTAGTGGAAAAAAGAGAGTCTCTTCAATAAGTGGTGCTGGGAAAATTGGACAGCTATGTATAGAAGAATGAAACTCGACCATTCTCTTATACCATACACAAAGATAAACTTGAAATGGATAAAAGACCTCAACGTGAGGCAGGAATCTATCAAAATCCTAGAGGAGAACTTGGCAGTAACCCCTTCAACATTGGCCATAGCAACTTCTTTTCAAGACATGTCTCCAAAAGCAAAGGAAACAAAAGTGAAAATGAACTTTTGGGACTTCATCAAGATAAATAGTTTCTGCACAGCAAAGGAAACAGTCAAAAAAGTCAAGAGGCAACCTACGGA